AAAAAAAAAAAAAAAAAAAAAACATTTAAAAAAAAAAAAAAAAAAGAAACCACCTGTGACGTCCGTCACCTACTGCCCACACTACAGGGAACTCGGGCTGGGATTCAGGAAGAGGCTGTGACACGAGGCGGAAGAGGACCACGGTCCACGCGGGACGACACCGCCAGCACTGCTATGCGGGGCTGACAGGAGAGAACTGAACTAAACCCCAAGAAACCATGCGTGGACCAGGAGGGGGCGATGCATTGAAAGTCATGGGGTCCCAAGGCCCTTGCGCCAGGTCCGTCGGGGATCTCAGAGAAGCAGAGCCGATGGGGTGTGTGCCCACGTGCAGCCGGGAGAGACGTCTGAGGGGAACGGCTCACAGAACTGAGGGGCCTGGCGGCCGGCCCAGCAGGCTGGGGACCTAGGGAGGAGCAGCTCGAGTCCAAAGGCAGTGTGGAGGCACAAGTCACTCCTCCTCTGGGGACCTCAGTCCCTTTTAAGGCCCTCAACTGATTAGATGGGGCCCACCCCCACTACGGAGAGCAGTCTGCTCTGGTCAGTCTGCTGATTTAAATGCTAACGTCCACCGAAAAACCCCTTCACGGCGACACTTACACTGGCACCTGGCCACAGCCTAGCCACGCTGACACACCGTTCACCACACAGTGTCTAGAGGAAGGATAACGGAGCTGATTAACTTCCAACCCTGATAAGCTACAGGTGTGCACGACGGCCCCACAGCGGGAACAGAGGACAGACAATGGGACGGTCAAAGGAGGTAGTAACTGAGAGAAGAGACACGAAGGGCAGGAGGCCCGGAGCTGAGCGGCTCCAGCACAAAGGCCACTGAGAACGAGCCGGAGAAAACTGAGAACGAGCAGGGGCAGGAAAAGCCCTCTGCCCTCCCCGTTTGCCCGAGGGCAGGACGCAGCCGTGCAGAGCGTCACCCCCGCTGCTGGGAAGGGGAGACGAGCCCCGACAGCCGTATGCCCTGACAGGCTAGGTGACCGCAGGGATCTGCATGGCAAGCCCATCATCTCTCCGGTGCCCGGTGTGCGCACTCTGCCCTCAGAGGCCCAAGGTCGCCTGCTTTGCCTGGGACTTCACTAAAGATGCGGTGTCCCTTGTCACGATGCTGCATAAGCCCCGGCTCTAACCGCCCCCAGGCCACTCACCACTGGGCCTCCCTCGTGTGGGCCTGATGCACAGTCAGTGAACCCACGGGGTCTCACGTTTGGGCCCAGCCTGAGAACCTAAGGAGGGCGGAAGGGACGGTTAGGCTTTCCCTCCCCTCCATGAAGTAAGCAAAATGCTCTAGTTTAAAAACAACAAATGGGTTATGCTGAGCGAAATAAGTCAGGCAGAGAAGGACAGATACCATGTTTGCACGTATAGGAGGATTAGGAGGAACTTAACGGAGGACCGTGGGGGAGAAGAAGGGGGAAATACTGGGGGAGAGGGAGGGAGGCAAACCATGAGAGACTCTTGAATGCCGAGAACAAACTGAGGGCTGATGGGGGTGGGGGGAGGGGAGGGGGGAGATGGGCATGGAGGAGGGCACTTGTGGGGATGAGCACTGGGTGTTCTATGGAAACCAACTTGACAAAAAACTATTAAAAAAAATAAAAACAACAAATGGCTTATTTTTGTGTGTGGCGTAAGAAAGGGTGCAGGTTCATTCTTCCACGTGTTGCTGTCCAGTCCTCCCAGCACCATTTGCTGAAGGGACGGTCTTTTTTCCATTGGATCCTCTTTCCCGCTTTGTCAAAGATGAATTGGCCATACATTTGTGGGTCTATTTCTGGGTGCTCCATTCTATTCCACTGATCTATGTGTCTGTTTTTCTGCCAGTACCATTCTGTCTTGATGATTAGAGCTTTGTAGTAGAGGCTAAAGTCTGGATGAAAGACCTATCAAAACCCTAGAGGAGGGGCGCCTGGGTGGCTTAGTCGGTTAAGCGTCTGACTTTCACTTAGGTCATGATCTCGCGGTTCGTGGGTTCGAGCCCTGCGTCGGGCTCTGTGCTGACTGCCAGCTCGGAGCCTGGAGCCTGTTTCTGAGTCTGTGACTCCCTCTCTCTCTGACCCTCCCCTGCTCACGCTGTCTCTCTCTCTCTC